TATATTTGTGTGTATTGTGTATATTTATTATGTAAATATACACAGTACACACACATACATTATGTAAAAAAAAAAAAGGTTTCCACAAAAATATAAGGCAGCACAACTGTTTTCAATATTGATTATAACCAGAAATGTTTCTTGAGCAGCAAATCAGCATATTATAATGATTTCTGAAGGATCATGTGACACTGAAGACTGGAGTAATGATGCTGAAAATTCAGCTTTGATCACAAGAATAAGTGACATTTTTCAATATATTCACATAGAAAACAGTTATTTTAAATTGTAATGTTTGTGTTTCACAATATTGCTATTTTACTGTATTTTTGAATTTCTGTTAAGAAATATTAACAAATCATGTGTCTCATATGTATGTTGAGAATTTTCCTATTATCTTCCTCTTACAATTAATAGTAAATGTCTTTTTGTCTCATGTTTTTTTTTTGTGTCAATACTCTCTATTGCTGGACTGCTTTATCTAGTGTCTTCAATTATTTGTTCACTGAGATGTGTCATTCGTGGTTTCATATCAGGTGTAACACATTTTGTAGTGAGAAAGATTTCACTTTTGATTCACTGCAGCCTTTTAGTAAGCTGACACAATAAAGGCATATACATCACTTATAAGCCTTTTAAATTTTAATCGCAATGAAGAATTTCTTCCCTCAATTTTGCTTTAAAAAAAAAATCCTTATAGCCTGTTTGTTTCATCTTCTTTCTAATCCGGCTATGGTTTAGACTCACAGCTCCTGAAAGCAGTGTTGGGTTTGTAAACAGCTGCCGTTCTGCCCTCATCTCCTGATGTGATCTTCCCAAAAAAGCTCATAAAGACATCAGTCTTGTTTCCCCCAGGACTAGTCAGCCAGTGTTGATGAATGTTGAATCTTCTCCTCCAGATGATGCTCACCTACCTGCAGTCAAGCTAAAAGACTTACAATGCACTGAATGACTGCACTAAGATTACTTAAGCACTCCATCCACCTGGGCCTGCGTGCACTGCAGTGCCTGTCACATCTGATGCATGCAATCTGATCTCACTAACTAAACACCATTAAAAATGCAATAAAGAAATTAATTTGAATATGGAACAGACTGATGATGCAGACAAAACTAAAACAGTATGCACATGATATAAATAGTATGTTTTAAAAAAATGAGTTTTTAGTTTAAATTGAATGTGATGAGTTAAGATGAATCTTGGCACTTCAAAATAATACAATGAAAATGGTTGAAAATGAAATTAATATTATTATTGTAATTATATAGATGCCATACTGTATATGCAGCTGTAATTCAGCATTGGTTGTACGGTTCCAGTCGGAGCGCATCCTCTCATCTGTGCTGGCAGACACATCAGGGAGCACTGCATTATGGGTATTTATCCCTCTCTTTATTTTTCCCTCAATCGAAGAGAAAATGTATTATTTACAGGAGCGGTTAAAGTAAGACACAGAAGCCTTCGTGATGGCCATCCGGGAGCTGCTGTTTCTCACACGTCTCACACGCTCTGTCATTTACCAGCATTCTCAGCTCGCCCGCTATTGATGTATGGAATATAATTGCTGGCTCTGGGAAGGAAAGAGATAGAGAGAGAGACAGATAGCGAGAGAGAAAGAGAGAGAGAGAGACCATGTTCTATCACAGGAATGCAGTATGTACTGTATGTAACTGCATCTGTTTATTGTACATAAATCATTCTCTCTGACTAAGATTACACATATATTTTTGTACATTTCTCTCTCTCTCTCTCTCTCTCTCTCTCTCTCTATCTGTCTGTCTATCCGTCCATTCGTCCATCTATTTTGCATAAAGGAAATTATGCTTCATCAGAAAATGAATCTTACCTAATTGTTTTTTGTTTTTTTTAATTCTCATATTGTTTTCAATTGTGATTTGAAGATGAGTGTAAACTATTCACATCGCGGTAATTATTCAAGTCAGTTGTATTTTTATAGCATTTTTCATTACACATCAAATTTCAAATTCAATTTGAAATTTCACGTTAAGTTTAAAATCAGCTTTACAGAAAGTCATATTATGAAAGTCATACATCTATAATGACTTGTGAGAATATGAGCAAAGGCGGCTGTGAAAAGAAATCTGCATCGTTGATCGTTTTGATCTTTCTTTCATTCAAAAAATGCTAACCTTTCATTAAAGTAAAACAATTGAAAGTGGGGAGAAAATCTCATGATGAAATAAATGTTTTTCTCCAATGCATGTTGGCCACAATTATGGGCACCTCTAGAAATTCTTATGAGTAAAATATCTCTGAACTACAGTATATTCCCATTCATATCTACAATTTTTTTTAGCACACCAGGGTGACTAGGAGCATGAAATTGTCCAGCCATGACTTCCTGTTCCACAGGATTATAAATATGAGGAACACAAAAACCATATTCCCTTAATCATCCATCACATCAAAGAGAAAAAACAAAGAATATAGTTCTGATGTGCAGAACAAGATTGTTGAGCTTCACAAAAGAGAAAGTGGCTGTAAGAAAAGAGCTAAAGAGCTCATATTCACCAAGGGTGCCAATATTAGTGGATGGCACTGCTAGACATTTAAATCTAGCTATATTGTATGTATTTTGTGTAGCAGATATATCAGTGCAGTGCCACAGAGTCTCACAGTGCCTGATCATTTGACTGTAATTAAAGTCCATCCGCCAGTGTGTCCTTGTGGAGTTTGTATCTGTACTATTCTTCAGTCTTTATCTCATCACTTTTCTAAATCATTTGTATTTCCTCATCCCTCACTGTCATTTCCATCCTTCTACATCTCACAGTAAATCCGTTCTTCCGCCCTTCATCTAATGGTGTGGTTGAGCGGAGGTTAGCGGCCAGCGCTGAACTAACGCAAGCAGCCAGACTGGCAGACACATGCGTCACTCCATCAAAGCGCTGACTCATCTCACAGGAAGTGCTCTGAGGACTGGACACAACAGGAAGCACATGAGCAGGTAGGGGGCAGCAGGGCCTTGCTTATTGCATTAATTCTATTTCTGAGAGAAAAAACTGAGGGGGATGATGAAGGTTTTGGGGAAATTCTTGGCATAGACATTTCAGTTGCCTCAAAGCAGAGGTTCTTGATCTTTTCAGGTGGAAGAAAAAGCTAAAAACAAAAAGAGAAGAAAGAAAATGTGCACTACCAACACCTACAAAAGTAAGTTACAAGTTACCCTTAGTTTTCTATCATATGTGTCTTACAATATATAATTATATTGGAATTAACTACACTTCTGCTATTAGCTAATGAACCTAAATGAGCTGATTATTCACTTGCTAAATTCCCTAATTCATATACTTGAATATACTGATTGTCAACAAATTGTTGTTAATTCATCAGTCATGCATTAACAGTCAATTAATTCATCATTATGAGTTTATTAATTAGTTGACTTGGTATTGGTGCTATATGTTATATTTATAGTAATTATATATTTTATATATTTTTTGAAATCAGCCAGTCATGAGTACACATTATTCTAAACAAAAAATTCCCTTCAATATCATAATGTGCAGTAATTTGCCTAAAATAAAGACCGATTCTGCATTTTTTCTCATTAAAAGCATTTTTTTCCCACTCATGTTATGACATTAAAATGGGTTGCGAATGCCATAACGAGCAATGTTTCCACACAAACAGACAAAAACAGACAATTTACTGTTAGACATTTAGAAAATTCAGATACAAATCTGTGCAAAGAAAGAGGAGGGCAGGTGTTGAAGGTTAATGTTGTCAGAAATGGCATTTTTGTCTTTTTAGAGTGAGTTGCATGAGTGATATTAATAGATTTTTTTGTGTGTTAAGGAATGAAAACAAAAGAATAAAAAAATAAACTCTGCCTACTGATTACTTTGTCAAGTAAATAATTTGCATTCTCTCAAACATAGCCTATTACTTTTATAATGGAATTGTATTTTAATTTAAAACATTAAGCATATAGTTTCACATTAAATGCACAATTACTCTGAATGCTTGACCCAAGACATTATCATTTTTTCCAATCAACATAGAAGTTTCTTGCAAAACAACGATGATTTCCATATTTAACAGCAGCATCAGAGTAGATGCCGTCTATTTTGTCTAAAAGAGAAGCATCAGAAGGACCAGTGGTAAACTTGCGAGGGCTAAGACTTTGAGCTAAGACTTTGATTCGCAGGACTGACAACCTTATTATGCGCCGTGCTTGTTATTGATATTACTCTGGGCTCCGTTGCCATGACCACCGCACAAGAGACATTTAATTTTCTCTCCTCCATCATCATTATCTATGAGACCATCTGTTGTGCAAAATGAATTCAGCCTCATTTGCATGACTGATAAGCACATTCTTTATCTATTTAACAGAAGGTCATATGCCATGGGTTTGGAGGCAGCAAAGGAGAGAGACAGAGAGGTTGTGTGTGTGTGTGTGAGTGTGTGTGTTTGTTTAGGGGGTTGGACGAGTAGGAGTGTGAAACATTATTAGCACAGATGTTTATTCTGGTGAGTTGACTGTAGTCGCAACAGCGATTAGCAAGAGGGCTAAACGGGGTCCTCATTTCACTATACTAAAACACCAATTCTGACTGGGTGATTCTCATTCCTAGTACATGCATGAAACTCCTACTCTGTATCAAATCAGCCATGCTTGCACAAAAAGCATATAGGAATTTGAATACATGTGCATTATTCATTCAAACCCATAATAGGATGCTTAGGCGAACACTCGCCTAATTCACCCTCTTGAATTATGGGAATTATTAAGGTTTTCTGTTTTTTTTTTTTCTGCCAGTCTTGAAATGAACTGCTTGTTATTTCAGTACTTTGCATTTCCCAGTTTCTGTGAGCATGAAATCATTTAATCGTCTTTGCTATGGTAAATTTACGTTCTGAATCCGGTAATGTTCGATTCACTAATCTTTAGCAGTCGTATTTGATTTCAGCTGTAAGTGGCACGAATGTCATATGAACTAAATGTCTATTTTTGCGTGCTGTCTGTTGTGTGGCGGGCTATTAAACCTGACCTAGTTCCTAAAATACATGTGTGCTGTAGCTGTACAGCCTCCTCATATCAAAGCCAGAATGCCTATTACACTCATCTGCTGTATTTCTCAAACAGCCTCCACTTCCAGCTGTGTTCCAGCTATTTTTCAGCATAATATTGGTGAATGTGAGCTGATGTTCCTTTACCCAGGGCTCCTCTTCTCACTGTCTTTCCCATTAGCATCACAGCTCTGAGGTTGCAGCTTTCAGCACCAGGCGCTGTCCACTCCATGAGCAATCAGAAACCTTTGGTTTCAGTCCACCAATGCAAAAATATAGAGAAGAATATATATAGAGAAGAATGAAGGTGCCACCATAGCCAGATTTTAACCTGTAAACAACTACATTTAAATTAATGATACATTATTTTCTTCAGAACTTTGGCTATTTTTCTGGCAAGGTTCTATCAAAGATCTCCCAGTAAGGTTAATAGAATACTAGAATATATAATATAGACAGAGAGGTTTCTGTAAGTACGTTTTTTATATTGAAAGAGGTTTTATATATATATATATATATATATATATATATATATATATATATATAATGACCAGTCTTAAAGGGAAAAAAAATAGATGACTAACTTGTAAGACTCTAAACCTTTAATGCAACCGGCCTCTGGTCATTAATAGCGTTCCCAAAACATTAGCACAATAACATTATTTATGCATCATTCAAGGAATGGTTTTCCGAAACGTTTTTATTTGTTACATTTTTAAACTACTAACATAAAATTAACATTCCCATTATGTTTGCAGATGATCAAATGCAATCTTTCCTTAATGTTTTCAATGTTGTTCGCATAAAATAAATAAATAAACATTTAAAAAAATGTTTGGAATGTTCAGAGAACATTTAGAAATAATGTTTTAGTAACTTGATGGGAACATTTATTAAAACGTTCTTTTACAACATAGCTAACTTTAAACCGGCAAACAATGAAAATACAGTTAATGTTTTCACTTTATTTTCTCAGAAATTTGGCTTATGTTCTGGCCTATTATGCTATTATGGGGACCTATTATGCTCCTTTTTACAAGATGTAATATAAGTCTCAGGTGTCCCTAGAATGTGTCTATGAAGTTTCATCTTAAAATACTCCACAGATCATTTATTATTCCATGCTGAAAATGACAATTTTTAACAGAATCAAAAGCATGCCGTTTTTGTGTATGTATCTTTAAATGCAAATGAGCTGCTGCTCCCCACCCACTTCTCCAGAAGAGGGCTGTACATTTACAGCTCTGCCTTGGATACTATACCAAAACAAAACAAAACAACTGTTTGGTCTTGATTATCATGTCTATCGCGCTCACGCTCATCATTTTAATATGGTTTTGTGAGCACACATCTCTGTGTGTGTGCACTTAAAGTGTCAAATACACTCAAAGTTATGTCAAATAATTATGACTGTGAACGTAAACAGCTGGGAAAGAAATCGCATGTGTATATTAGATCTGTGTGACAGCAGCATAATATACAGAACCTACTGCTATCTGTGCTGGTCATTTGAATTAAACAACAAAATAAAAACAGAAAGTCATATCTCTGTTTTTTCTCATATCTCATATCTTAGCTCCTCGCCACACTCAGGGGAGGAGCTAAGATAATAAGGCAGAGATTGTTACCAGTCATGTGCAGGCCTGGTCCTATGTGATGTCACATTGGAGTAAATTCCTGATTGGCTCATTTTAAGACAACCATTGTGATTTATGGGGAAAATAACAAACAGAGAGGATGGATATTCTCCACAATAGGGTGCACACACTGCAGACACATAATTATGTGTATAAAACAATATAAAAGTGACTTTTGCATATTAGGTCCTCTTTAAAGTTAAGAACAAATATCTTCCAGAAACAGAAGGTTTGTTCAGAGTCGTCTGGTCTGCCAATCCCAAAATGTTATCGCCACAATGTTATTTATGCATCATTCAAGGAAGATTTTTTTTTTTTTGTGAAACATTTTTATTTCAACATTCACCTAATGCTTTATAAATGTTACTTCTAGAACATTCAAAAGTATAACATTCCCATAATGTTTGCAAAATGAAACTTTGCCTTAATGTTGTTTGCATAAACAAGAAAAAAAAAAAACTGGATGTTTTGAATTTTCAGATGTTTTTTTTTTATTTTATTGAATGGGAAAGTTATTAAAGCATTCTTAGAACATATTACATATAATAAACATGCCACGGTAGCCAAATTGTATTATTATTAATATTATTATTTTTTTATCAGTAAACAATGGAATTAAAAGTAATGCAATCGTTGAAACGGAATAATAAGTGGAATCACTTAGATATGAGTGATTTGCTAATTTAGTTGTTTATTTTACAAAATGTAAAATTATTCAAAGAGGCCACTGCTGGGGCAAGACACTCCCCTGGGTAAATCTTCACAGAATATATAAATTATGTAATTCTTATTAATATTTATATATATGAACTGTCATTAATTTAAAATACTAAATCATCTATTCTATTTAAAATGCCATTTTGACAATTTAGGTGAAGAATTAAATGAGAAACAGAGCAGAATCCCAGATTTTAAAGATAAATTTATTCTATGACTTCTATGAATATTTATATATTCAATTGACCATGTTTTAATTGAAGATATGCCAATTAAAAGCAACACTATGAATTTAAATTGAATGGGTTCACTCAATTAACCTATAGGTTTAAATGAAACGTTAAGATGTCTGAAATGTACATGAAATTCATGGAAATACTAAATAATAACCCCATTAATTACAAGTGTTAACTTTAAAAAGAGTAACTCTAGTAACAACATGTCACTCAAAGCCTTCTGTGGCAATTTTGGTGGCCCAGGGGCAAATTTTATATTTTTATTTAAAAAACAAAACACAAAAAAAAAAAAAATATATATATATACTGTATATATATAATGTTTGGCATTTTCTGGCTGACGCAGAGCTCCTGCGTGCGTCTTTCACAGTTACCACACAACTTAGTGTCAGGATGATGAACAGCCCAGTGATTACATTCACACACAATCATCCATCTCACACAAAACCAAGCACTTTATCTTTAATCACTTCCCTGTCAGTTATTTGATGTCATGTGTTCACGGATATCTTGTTTTCTAATCACCTTCTAATCTCATATAATCATTTTTTCTTTTCAGCATCAGTGGATTAAAGATAAATAAACTGGATTGTCAGAAGAAAAAAATGAATTCTTGAGTTGAATAATAGCACATAAAGCAGTAATCAATGAAACGCATAATCACTTAAATCAAATGACAATTGAGCTGACAATAGAATGGCAATTTAGCCACAGAATTAAAATGGAAACAAATGCTGAAATGGAATCTCTTGAGTGATTTGGAACATTCTACTGTACATAGACGGCAGATTACAGCACACACAAGAACCACAGTGCAACAACTGATTCCAAAGGAAGCAGACAAAATTGATCTTATAAGCCTGAAAATACAAAGCAAACCAAACGAGGAGTGGAACATGATCAAATAAGGAAAAATAGGAACAGAAACAGGAGCAAAACACGACACAGAACAGTCCAGAATCCTGACATTACGCCCCCTCCCTCCTTGCGCAGTCGAAACTACATGGGGAGGGTCGGGTGGGAACTTGGGAGGAGGTTCCGGAGGAGGACAGACACCCGGGAGGGGGACGGCAGACAGAGACCAGGGAGGTGACGATGGAGGGAGGAGCCAGGGAGGAGACAGGAGGGGCTTGCAGCAGGAGGAGCCCAGCTGGACCCAGGCCACAGCCATAATGTCAACCCACGTTGAAGCCGACGGAGGGAGGAGCCATGGAGGTGGAATGGCCGCCGACTCCAGGGGGCTGACCAACGGCGGCAGAGCAGGTGGGGGAGGAATCCGAGGCGGAGACGGAGAGCCAACGAGCCAGGGGGATGCCAAGGATCCAGGGGGCCAGGGTGGAGCCGAAGGCTCTGGCGACCAAGGCGGAGGCAGAGACTTAAATACAGATCTATAATAAATAGATCTATCTATCTATCTATCTATCTATCTATCTATCTATCTATCTATCTATCTATCTATCTATCTATCTATCTATCTATCTATCTATCTATCTATCTATCTATCTATCTATCTATCTATCTATCTATCTATCTATCTATCTATCTATCTATCTATCTATCTATCTATCTATCTATCTATCTATCTATCTATCTATCTATCTATCTATCGGAGATCCGCGGTGGAGCCGGAGCGACTGAGGACCAAGGTGGAGCTGGCGGGAGGAAGGAGCCCAATAGAGCTGG